AAGCTAGTGTTGCTGCCGAAATCAGGAAAACCGCCGGAAGATCCAGCATCGTACAGGCTTATATGCCTACTGGATACACTCGGAAAACTTGGAGAGGATCATCCTAAACAGGCTGACGAAATACACGGAAAGTGAGCACAGATTGTCGGAGAAGCAGTTTGGATTCCGGAAAGGGAGATCGACGGTGGATGCAATTCGGACAGTAGTCGAGAGAGCTGAGAAGGCGTCTAAACAGATGCGGAGAGGAGATCAATATTGCGCCGTGATAACGATCGACGTCAAGAATGCGTTCAACAGCGCCAGCTGGGAGGCCATCGCCAAAGCACTGCATAGAATGAGGGTCCCTGACTAGCTGTGCAGGATCCTGAGGAGTTATTTCCAGAACCGGGTTCTGGTCTACGAGACAGACATGGGACTAAGATCGATTACGATCACAGCGGGAGTTTCACAAGGCTCCATCCTTGGTCCAACGCTCTGGAATGGGATTTACAACGGCGTGCTAACGCTGAAACTGCCCAAAAGAGTTGAGATCGTTGGCTTTGCGGACGACGTCGTCTTGACGGTAACAGGCGAGACGCTGGAAGAGGTGGAAGTGTTTTCAACCGAGGCAATCGACATGATTGGTAACTGGATACAAGGAGCGAAGCTGCAGATAGCCCACCACAAAACGGAAGTGTTATTGGTCAGTAACTGTAAAGCGGTGCAGCGTGCAGAAATCACCGTCGGGGAGCACGCCATAGCATCGAAGCGCGTGTTGAAATACCTGGGAGTGATGATCGATGACCGGCTAAACTTCAACAGCCACGTCGAATATGCCTTCTCAGGCCATCAACGCGATAGCTAGAATCATGCCAAACAACGCTGGTCCCAGCAGTAGCAAGAGGCGTCTTCTGGCCAGCGTGTCATCATCGATACTGAGATATGGAGGTCCAGCCTGGGTTGCACCAGCGCTGGAAACGAAGCAGAACCAAAGGAAACTGAGCAGTACGTTCCGGCTCATGGCCATGCGAGTCGTGAGTGTGTACAGAACCATTTCGATGGAGGCAGTATGCGTTATCGCCGGTATGATCCCTATCTGCATCACCCTGACGGAGGACAGCGAGTGCTACAGGCGGAGAGAAGCCGGAAGAGTACGGAAAGTTGTGAGAGTGGAGTCATTGGCTAAGTGGCAACAGGAGTGGAACACGACGGAGAACGGTAGATGGACACATAGACTAATACCGATTCTTTCGACCTGGGTGAACAGAAAACACGGAGAAGTCAATTTCCACCTAACGCAGTTCCTGTCTGGCCACGGCTGCTTCCGAGAATATCTGCATCGGTTCGGACACGCAGCGTCACCCCCTCTGTCCGGAGTGTGCAACGTCGATGAAACGCCGGAGCATGTGGTCTTCGACTGTCCAAGGTTCGAGGCAGTGCGAACGGAGATGCCCGTCCTTAACGTGGAGAATGTCGTCGTTGAAATGTGTCGAGAGGAGGGCACTTGGAATGCCGTCAGCAGGGCAGTTACGCAGATTATGTCGGAGCGAACTGGACGCCTCAACACAGTCGAAACACGATATATCACTAAATGATAACTTTATGAACACTTGAAATGAAATTTCAGCACGCAAATCAATTAATTTAAAGCAAAAAATGCTGAAGAAAAAACGCGCAACACAAGAAAAACACGTCAGCTTGCAAGCGCAGCCTACTGCGATCGATCTCAAATGTTATTTTCTAAATTACGGTTATGTGAAATTATTGAAAGATAAAAGTCTGAAGCGTGGTGGGCCTGACAAAATCGGGTAATTTATGATTATTTTCTTGTAACGTAAGCAAATTTGATGTCACGTTTGAGCTTAGTCTCCCTCCCCCATATGACACAATTTGTATGGTTTATTCGAACCCCTAAATGTCTGTCTGAAAATAATCATGTGTTTTCACATGAAGTGAAACAGTTTCGAAAACCCTAAAAGTGTGACATAATTAATGGACGATCCCTTATCGGAACGTCATCTCAGGTGACATATATTTCATTTTCAAGGGTAGAATCAATTTTCCTAGCAGCATTATTTCTATCTTTGACAGATACACCTGACTCGAGTTCGAGTGGTAGGAAACATCATTTTAAACTGCTCGAATGATGTGGTCCATTATCTGTGGAATAACATTATGCTTGCAGGAACATATATGAATGCATCATTAGGCTCTAAAAACTCTTTAACCGTGGAAGTTACTAAAGAACAAGACTATGTGAACAGTCATATAATTGTAGCAGAAATAGGTTGGAATGTAACAGCCATGAAGAAGAAGATTAGTACATACTTGAAGCCATCTCACAACAAATGCACAAATTCCAGCACTTTGATTCCCCTTGCTATCGCATCACAAAACACCCAAGCCTTGTCCCGCCAGTGCCGAGTGTCGGATCTTAACGACGATTGACACATCTGTCCGTATCGAGTGTCCAGTTTCGCTTTAATGGTGTGAATGCCTTCATATGCTTCTCGGAGTGGGAGACGGCCAAAGTCTTGCTAATCTCAATTTTATTGTTTCAGAAACGTTCTTGTTTCTTTCTTTTGGCCTGCCTTCCCATCCACCCTCGCATCGCATCAAAGGTCAGCCAGGGCAAGTCGTGTGGTGTGCAACCAATCGGGGGGGACGAAAGTGAAAGGTGATTAGTATTCCGTGTAGGAAAAAGGCTTTCCCAGTTTTCGGTGTGTGATAATTAATGAATCGGAATAAATTAAATGTCAAATGTTTTATTCCCTGTCATTAAGGTCGTCCACCGAGCGAGCGGTTCCCTCTTCGTCTCTGATAAAGTAATTCTGATTATTGCGAATTGATGATGCTGTTTTCGTTTGCACTGAGCGAGCGTTCTGAGGGTGAGGGTACGCAGCATCGTAGTCATTGAAGTCGTTCATTGACGTCCTGTCCAAATGTTTGCACTCCATCCGGCACTCGAGAGGGCTCGCAATTCGCAATAAAGGGTGTCTTTGTACGTGTCCACTTTGGTACTCACTCGCACAGAACTCTATTCAGAAGAAAAATCCAATCTCTGATTACAATCAGTCTCCTTTGCCATAAAAACGTCCTCCGACGACGTCGACGACGACGAGTTGGGACGAGGCCGCGGTGGATTGAATGACAAATTTTTTAATCATTTTATCCTCGGCGCGGAACGGCTGGCTCAGAGCAGTCGTCGGGGTCTCGCGTTTGTCGCAGATGACAACGAATATGAAAAAAAAATGCTCAAAAGAACTGGGAGCAGCGTAATCTGCAATCGGGTCCACGGAAATGCACCATGAACGCGGGTGCACTATTCTGCAGCATGTTGAATTGCACTCGTTGTACCCGGCGAGCGGTCGTCGGTCGTGATCGTGTCATTTTATCTTCATAAAAGGATTTGAACGGACACGGTCTGCGTGTCACACTTTTGGCCGTTTGGCATGGATCATGATGTGTAATTGAATGAGAAGAACCGTTCTTTGTGGCAAATGTCACTGCATTATAAAGAAATCTTTGTGTTTTTACGATTCGTCGTGGCAGACTCCTTTCCCGAGCAACACAGTTTGTCAGAAACAGGTTTACATGACTTGTTTATGACAATCTCAGCTTTAAAAATTTAAGCCTTGTCACTTATATACAACTACGGTAATGGAATTTGATTGGACCTATTTATATCATTTTCACACTGCGTCTAAAGGTATGCCGTGTTTTTTCAATGAATGTAACATATGGACAAAAAAAATATGTGTTTGGTGAAAAAGTATACCTTTCTAGTTTCTAATATTACTGAAGAGAAATTTTTTTTAAATAGGATGTGATTGAACGTTTTTATTTAGCAATGAATTTGAATCATGGTTGGACCTATTATATAAAGTACACTCCCGAGCATAAGTTTAAAGACACCCCAAAAAACATGACAAATTTGTTATGTTCATATCTCTGTCATATTACGTCCAATTTTCTTTCTCTGTAGATTAGGTATTGAATGGAACTTTCCTCGTAGGCAAATTTTTCAATATAATTTTCAAATTTTGTGTGCTAAAATTTCTCCCAAAGTTACAATAATTTTCAAAATTTACTCTAAAGAATCGTGACTGATTTTCTCAGCATTGTGTTGGCCAAATTTTGAAATAAAAGTAGTAGTAGAACAGTTAGGGATCGTCCATTAATTATGTCACACTTTTAAGGGGAGGGGGTTTTGGAAACTGTGACGAGCCTTACAAAAAACAATTAAGGTCCATATAAAAAATGTGACAAAGGGGGGAGGGGGGTTGAAAATGGGCCAAATTTGCGTGACATAATTAATGGACCTTCCCTTATGCTATATCATTCATACCATTCAAATAACCTTTGGAGATCTAAAATTGAACAAAACATATTTGCATGGGTTTTTGGGGTGTCCTTAAACTTATGATCGGTAGTGTATCATTTCTACGCTTGGGATTCTCGCAGGGCCGAGTGCCATAAACCAATCGACTCAGTTTGACGACATAGGAAAATGCCTAGGTATCCGTGGGTATGTTTTTTATAGAAAGGTTTAGGAAAGCTTCAAAAGCCTGGCCTGCAATGAAGTTGACACGGTTGACCGACATAACCTGTGTGGCTGCTCTGTTGACGGGATTCCAAGTGCCCTCCTCTCGACACATTTCGTCAACGACGTTCTCCACGTTAAGGATGGACATCTCCCTTCGCACTGCCTCGAACCTTGGACAGTCAAAGGCCGCATGAACCGGCGTTTCATCCACGTTGCCACACTCCGGACAGAGGGGTGATGCTGCTTGTCCGAACCGATGCAGGTATTTCCTGAAGCAGCCATGGCCAGACAGGAACTACGTTAGCTGAAAGTTGACTTCTCGGTGTTTTCTGTTCACACAGGTCGAAAGAATCGGTATTAGTCTGTGTCCATCTACGGACAAATTTCCGTACTCTTCCAGCTTCTCTCCGCCTATAGCACTCGCTGTCCTCCGCCAGGGTGATGCCGATAGGGATCATTCCAGCGATAACGCTTACTACGCTTCCGACGAGATAATTCTGTACGCATTCACGACTCGCATAGCCAGTTTCCTTTGGTTCTGCTTCGTTTCCAGAGCTGCAGCCCAGACTGGACCTCCATACCGCAGTATCGACGACGACACACTGCCCAGAAGACACCTTTTGCTACTGCTAGGACCAGGGTTGTTCGGCATGATTCTAGCTATCCCGTTGATGGCTTTCGAAGCCTTCTCACAGTCATATTCAACGTGGCTTTTGAAGTTTAGCCGGTCATCGATCATCACTCCCAGGTATTTCAACACGCGCTTCAAAGCTATGGCGTGCTCACCGACGGTGATTTCTACACGCTGCACCACTTTACAGTTACTGACCAATAACACTTCCGTTTGTGGTGATATATCTGCAGCTTCGCTACTTGCATCCAGTTACCAATCATGTCGATCGCCTCGGTTGCCAACATTTTCACCTTTTCCAGCGTCTCGCCTTTTACCGTCAAGACGACGTCATCCACAAAGCCATCGACCATTCCGTACATTCCGTTCCAGAGCGTTGGACCAAGGATGGAGTCTTGTGGAACTCCCGCTGTGATCCTAATCGATATCTGTCACATGTCTGTCTCGTAGACCAGAACCCGGTTCTGGAAATAACTCCTCAGGATCCTGCACAGGTAGTCAGGGACCCTCATACTAAGCAGCGCTTCGGCGATGGCTTCCCAGCTGGCGCTGTTGAACGCATTCTTGACGACGATCGTTATCACGGCAAAATATTGATCTCCTCTTCGCTTCTGTTTGGACGCCTTTCGGCTCTCTCGACCACTGTCCGAATTGCATCCGAATCCGGAATCCGAACTGCCTCTCCGGCAATCCGTGCATTTCGTCAGTCTGTTTAGGATGATCCTCTCCAAGAGTTTTCCGAGTGTATCCAGCAGGCATATAGGCCTATACGATGCTGGATCCCCGACGGTTTTCCTGGTTTCGGCAGCAACACTAAATAGCTTCTGTATCTTCTGCCTATCAGGAAAGTGACCCTCGTCCAGACTCTTTTCAAACTACCTTCAATCAAATCGTTGGGATCACCTCGGGAGCAATTTCGACAGCCGTCGTCGAAGTTGAAGACGCTAGAGGAGCCTCTAACCAATGTCCGAGCATGCTTTGAACGTTTTGCGTCTCTATCGTCTGGCATCAACGGTGAGAGATTCACAGCAACCTATCTCAGACGATTGCCAAAACCAAATCAACACAACATGGTGCAGCTTGGGTTCTGAATTTCCTGGTCGTCCCATAAGTAACAGGAATTCTTTCAGGACGCAGGATCGACGTACGTCAATGGCATATTCCACCTCAAGTTAAACTGGTAGATCCAAGATTTCCGTGCCCGCTAAGGGGGATACGCTCATCGGAGCGGATCTGCTCTAACAGGACGACTGAAAACAGGTGCTTTGGAGCACCGAGCTTGGTTGGATCGTATGTGGCTCGTATCCCGGCGGTCAGAAGCCAACAGTCAGAAGCCAACAGTGGTAGCAGCCTTTGGTCAAGGTGAAGACACTCTGGACAGCGTTGTGCGAAGATTTTGGGAACAAGAAGAAGTGTGTGGTGAGCCATCAATCACTGAAGAAAATCAACAGTATGTCGAACATTTCACTAGAACACATCGTCGAATCAACGGACGTTTCGTCGTGCGACTTCCTTTCCGGTCTTCCGTTGAACAACTTGGCGGAGAAGCGGTTTTTGCAGCTTGAAAGGCGGCTTGACCAACATCCAGTGTTGAACGAGCAGTATACAGCATTTATCAAGGAGTACATTGAGCTGGGGCACTGCGAGAAGCTACGTGAAGGTGAGGTAGGTGACGAAGGATTCTATCTACCTCATCATTCAGTATTGAAGCCGTCTAGCACAACCACAAAACTACGCGTGGTGTTTGACGCATCGGCACGGTCGAAAGGCAACCTGTCGCTCAACGATGTGCTGATTGCAGGACCGGTACTCTAGGATTCGTTGGTAGCCATTGGGATGCGTTCAAGAAAATATCGGTTTGTATTCAAGGCTGACGTTATCAAAATGTTCCGACAATCACGTATGGTACGTCAGTCAGTTGAAAACACTCACGTACAGGGGTTGAAACTGTTGACGCTTTTTACTACACTTGCTTCGTTGTCCTGTGCGACAGTCTGTTTGTTTTCGTACTCTCATACTCTACCGTCGTCTCTCTTACACAACGCAAATCGTAGAACAACATTCGAGCAAAAAGAAAATTATATGAAAATATTGTTGCTGCTTGTTTATCACATTCTAGACACACTGGCGGTGTTGCTATTTATGTCAAAGAATCAGTTCAATTCAACCTTCGTACCAACGTAGATGAATCTACAGCTGTTCTTAATAACGCTTTGAAAACGTGTACCAATCAACTAGTTGAGCAAAAGTTTGTTTCTTTGAAAAACTCGAACAGCTGGTACAATTTGGATCTTTTGCGTCTTAAACGGAAAAGGGACAAATGGTACAAAAAGTTTTGTAGATCTAATAATGACAATCATTGGACTAGGTACACAATCGCGCGTAATAAGTATTCACAATCGATAAAGAAAACTCGTTGTGAATATGTTCAAAGGAAGATTGATCAGCATCAAAACAACAGCAAAGCGTTATGGAAAATTTTGAAATCTTTATTAAAACCTAGTAATTGCAAACCGCGGTCCATAACTTTTAATGGCACATTAGAACAGTCAGAACAAGTAATTGCATCTAAGTTTAATGATTATTTCGTAGACAGTGTTTCATTGATTAATCAATCTATTGAATTGGTCGATGAACCTGACGAAATAAAACAGCCAGTTAATAGTAGTTGCAGATTTGAAGTTTTTCACCCAATTACATTAGATGAACTTAGAGTTATTTGTTTTTCATTAGGAAAATCGGCTGGAGTAGATAATGTTAATGCTAGAGTTATTCAAGATTGCTTTCATGTCATTGGCCACATCTTTCTGGACCTTATTAATGAATCATTGCAGAATGGACATGTGCCACAAATTTGGAAGGAATCCTTAGTGATTCCTATTCAAAAAGTTGCTGGAACGATTAAAGCCGAAGAGTTTCGTCCCATCAACATGTTGCACACTTTAGAGAAAATCTTAGAACTTGTTGTTAAAGGCCAGCTGTTGGAGTATTTGAATAGCAACTCTTTGTTGATACCTAACAATCGGGATATCGGGAAGGTCATTCTTGTGAAACTGCATTGAATTTGGTGTTAGCAAAGTGGAAAGACAACTTGGAGCGTAAAAATACGATTGTTGCTGTTTTTTTGGATCTGAAACGCGCTTTTGAAACAATTTCTAGGCCCTTACTGTTAAGTACAATCAAGCGCTTTGGAATTACGAGTACTGCATATAAATGGTTTGAAAGCTATTTGTCTGACAGAACTCAACGGACTGTTTTTAATGATTCTGTTTCCAGTCCCGTGGGGAACAACCTTGGAGTGCCCCAGGGAAGTGTATTAGGGCCCCTTTTATTTATTATGTATATTAATGACTTGCGACGTGTTTTACGGTTTTGCGACATTAACCTTTTTGCAGATGATACTGTGTTATTCATTGCAGCTAAGGATTTAGAAGTTGCCGTCTCACACTTGAATGAAGATTTGCAGTATCTAAGTAGATGGTTGAAGTGTAAGCAGTTAAAATTGAATACAAGTAAAACTAAATTTATGGTAATTTCGCGGAATCGATTAAATGAGAACGTCTCTGTTGTAATTGATGATGAGACTATTGATCGCGTTCAGGAGATTAAATATCTTGGCGTGATTATTGATGACAAACTTAAGTTCAACTCTCACATTGACAATGTCATCAAGAGAATTGCCAAGAAGTATGGAATTCTATGTCGATTGAAAAACGATTTAACTATTGCCAGTAAAATACAGCTATACAAATCAATCATCTCTCCTCATCTAGACTTTTGCCCATCCATTTTATTTCTGTCGAATGCAACACAAATATCGAGATTACAGCGCTTGCAGAATAAAATAATGCGTTTGATTTTGAGATGTAATAGAGTCACTTCCTCAACTTTGATGTTAGACGCCTTACAATGGTTGTCGGTGAAGCAAAGAATTGTATATTTGACTATGGTGTTCATTTTTAAAGTAGTTAACGGTTTGCTGCCTCGATATTTGTGTGATCGAATTGAAAGAGGAAGTGACTATCATAGATATAATACTAGAAACGCGGATGAAATAAGAACACCACATTTCTTGACTTGTGCTTCACAGAATTCATTATTTTTTAAAGGAATAAATGTTTTCAATTCGATGCCTAGACACATTAAACGTTCAACAACATTAGCAGAATTTAAGAGACATTGCATTTCACACGTTAAAACTGTCTTTTGAACGGTTATCCAGTGATTTTTTTTTTTATGAATTGACAAATTATGTATCTTGACGAAGTTATTTTTAACGGATTACTTTGTATGGATAGCTGTTATAACGACTTTTTAATAATTATTGTAGCACTGCAAAAACTATTTTGTTCGCCACGATGGTGATGATGGATTTTTGATATATGATTTAATAGTAGTAGTAAAAAAAAATAGTAGTCTACAAAGGTTTGAGCCTCGCGCGCGTATTACGGATATAGAGGACTGAATTTAACATTTGATAAAAAAAATGCAACTTTGAAGCTTATTTGGAAGATACCTTGAGTTAGTAGTAAGTTTTCTGGCAAATGTTGGGGGTTCGTGAGCATTCCTGACATTGCTGAAAATTATGATAGCATCAGATTGCGGGGTTGCTAGTGTAATAGGATGCTTTGTTGATTGTTCATTAACTCTTGATTGCTTGTAATACTTATGAATATTTTAGGTGGACAAAAAGGCGAACTAAGAGGTGGACGCCTGAGCTTTTCAACATTTATATCGCTGTGAAGCAACTGTAAACTCTAGAGGGAATTTATATCTGTAACTGAAACCAGTTTGATTTTGTTTGCCAACCTGGTTAAAATGTCATATTTAATTATCTTAAAGATAAATCGTCCAGCTCAAACCTTTGTAGGGGTAAGAGGTGGGACCATCATCATCATCATCATCATCAGATTATATAACTATCATATGACATGTGTGATTTCGTTCTAATTCCTCAATTTGGTGTAAATTAAACCTTTTCTGATCAGAAATGCTATTACCAGAACATCGTTGCTTATTATTTTCAGAATTCACACAAGCACAGCATCAGTAGCTCTTATTATGGGAAAAACTAAAATACATACATTCGTGACGGTCTTCGGCAACAATGTCGTATGACAGAGACTTTCATATGACATTTTAGTTTGGTACTGTAATTTGATGACTTGTTTTGCAAGTGTCGGAAGCAAAGGCAGTCGATTATCACAAAAAATGTGTCGACTACGGTGACCGCTTACAAGACTGCTCACGCATGTTACGTCATGTGCTCCATTCTGTGCTACTGCTTGCCTGAAACAACTGGCTAACGATGAAGATGAGTATTTTCTGATTGCAGCGGAAGTGTTACGAAAGGACTTTTATA